GTCAGCATGCACCAAAACTTTGCAAAACAATGGATTGAAAGCGGTATTTATATCGGAGTTCCGGGAAGGGGGAATGGGGTGGCATACATATGGCGCTCTTGGGCGGGAGTTGCGGGAGTGCCGATTTGGCATGGGGAAAAGCAGTGGCTAGTTTGGATCGCAGATCGTCAAATTGGGAGTATCTGTGGATTTTTAGTCTATCTTATAACAGTGGGCATATTTCATACGCAACGCATGTGCTGTACATGTATGTACATGGGAGTTGAGAAGGATTGTATTGTATGTACAGTACATACCTCATCCGAACCACCACGAGACCACCCTATGTGTCCCCATAGAAAGATTAGCTCATGAAAAGACACCCGAAAAAACATTGAAGAAGAAAACTAAATAGAGGACAGGAAGACACAAACCTCCAACGTCTGAATCTTACAAATCCACACAACATATGCCCCAATCCCAGACCTCCCCCCCTTCACAACAATATAATCCTCGATCAACACGCTGCGCGCCCAAAGGCCCTGGCTCGTCTCGCTGGCTGGGTCCTCCGTGTGGTCTTCCAGGCGTATAAGTGACCTGCGCTGTGCCGTGGCGGTTTCTAGTGACGTCTGCGATGCCAGGGATACGCTCCTATGGTGCCGCCAATAAGGGGGGGTTACGCCTGATATAGCCGTTGACATTGATGGAGCTATCCATGGCGGTGGTTCCTCATCCGAATGTGGTGATTGTTCCACTGCTGCTCCTGATGCCACGGCCGCTGAGGTGATGTTATAATCGTTGTTTTCAGAGATTGTGGTGGAGGCCGCCGTTGTGGGATTGGTAGAGAAATTACGCGGAGAAATCGTGGTGTGATTGAAAAGAGAGACGGGGACAGATTTTTGCCGCTCTTTTTGGTTATGTAGAGGTTGCTGCATGTGAGGTGGCTGTGCCTCCTCATTCGCCGGCTCCATCCATTTGACAGGTGGCGAGCAAGCAAGGACTACGGTAGAAGGAGCTTTTTGGCTTGTGTTTAGGATGTGGTGCAGACGAAAGATGCGACTTTTTGGAAGGAATAGCGGGTCCCGATGAGCTCAACTGAGCTACGCTTCCTCGGAAGTGGGTAGAAGGAGAGGGTTAGGTGCGTTGGTAAATCCGGTAAAGTAAAAGAAATATGTTCAAAAACTGTGTGCCTGCGAAATGATCATCAGCATAATCTAGCTCACAAAGGCAGTGAAGCTTGTACGCC